CCAATTTTGCTATGATGGCTCAGTCTCTTCTTGACGACTGCTCAAATCTTCTCCTTGGGGAAGCGTACTGTGTTAACGGCGGTACGTCTTCAAATGCCGTTGTTACTGCTGCAGGTGATGTGGTAGCAAGAGGAGGGGCGACTACTCTTTTCCAAAGGAAGTCAGCAGTACCGACTCAGACGCCGAGCCCGACGACAAGAAGAGGCGGCGTTGCCATTGGATGGCCAGGCTTGGGGTCTCCCAAGCTTATGAAGCAGATAGGTCTCTGAGCATCCATTTCTCTAAGAAATTAATCGAGCGTGAGAGTATTCGCCTTTTAACCACGGGACATTGTGCCCAGGAGTGATGCCGTAACCTGACCCCATGTACGTAGCATGAAACATATGTGTGCCGTAGACTTACAACATGGATTGATTTACGAGTGAAGGCAGATCACCATCCGACAAATATGTGAAAAATTAATCAGAATCTTTGGTTGTTAATGCAGACATTTTATTTGTATCAGGATAACTACAGGAATAAATCTTTTAAAATAGTTTCCAGCTCAATCCTTCACCGGTAGGAAAAAGATAGACAGCAGTTTATTGGATCGAGTGGGACACCGGAAGTGGGGGAAGTATCTTAAGGGTTCAACTTTGCTTATCCTGGTGATAGTGAAGAAATACAAGCTTTTGCTTGTTTCCTTCGTCATGATACATACCAGAGGAGCAAAAAGTATGAGCGCATCTGGGGGGGGGGGGGAATGCAAAAAAAGAAATCTCTGACGAGAGTGGGACTCGAACCCACGCGGATTGCTCCACCAGGAATTAAGTGCTAAGGTGACCTTAACCTGACGCCATAACCAACTCGGCCATCTCGCCTATGATTCGTTGAAGACCAGGTGGCTTATTGGCTCTTATCCTAGCAATCAGTTGTGTGCGGTGTCGGTGAAAAATTTTCCATCTCGATGTCTTTTTTTCCCTCTCTTATCCCTTCGCTCCGGGCCGCCGCGTTGTGGTGGATACGGTGTGTGTAATGCGAAATTTGCTAGGGTTTACTCGGTACTCGGGCGGGCGACAAGTATGGGGCCATGAACTAAAGGGCTCCAACCTGGTTCGGGACTGGCTCAACACCATTCATGTAGCATGTAGTATGCGAGAAGAGTAGCTTAGACTTACGGATTAATTCGGGATGAGATTGGCCAATTGAGTTTATAGTTGAGTCAATGCATGATTGTTAACGTGATATGCTTCTGTATACTGTTGGAGCACAACAGTATTATGTTTGTCAATATTCGACCAGAAACTACCACATGGGCAAGCTTTGGGTGTGCTAAGGTTCAAAGGGAAGTCAAGAATATAGAAAAACTATGTTTTCAGACTCGTTCAAATTCACAGCGGTGGAGATCTCGTTGTCGATGTTGGTAGTAAATTTTCATATTCAATTCTAGCTCTCATCCAACCTTGAATGCTGAATAGGGTGAGTTTAGCTGCCATATCACTTTTTAATCCTTATATCTCTATTAATAAAAGTAGAAACTCACGTAAAACATCTAGATATTGCATATATGCTATAATAATCATCGACAATTCTCAGAAACTATCTTGAGGCTCTGGTAGGCCTTAAGTGCAGGGCATCTGTAGCATCGACGTACGTATAAGTTAATGTATTAGACCGTAGGTCTATAGTAGAACTTTCAACTCTTTTCACAAGGACTGCAGATTCTTCCTTGATAATATATCAGTATTACGGAATAGATACACTTTTCTATCAACCAACTCTCGTTATCAAGCAAGTTCTCCTCAATAACAAATTCGTCTTTTATATAGATTTAAATTACTTGAATGCTGTGTCATAGTTGACAAGCTCTTAACTTGTCATCGTATCACATTAGCTGCACCATTGATTATATGTGTGATATGGTATGAGCAGTGACGGCCGAGCTCGTCTGGTTCCTGACAGCACAGACTAATCAATAATGGAAGTGGTCTCAAGCAAACCACACTTGCCTGTGACAGGATGTTTCCCGCTCGGAGTTCTTAGTGAGCATGAAGACGCATTCAGCTGCTGCCAAAGTAAAGAGAGCCATGTTCAATGGACACGAGAACCAGCTCCCGAAAACGTACTTCCCGTGCTTGCTCGATAATATGCGACATTTGTGCGGTAGAGTGTACCTCAGTGTGTAGGGGCCGGTAAATATATGACTCCATTCACAAGACCAGGTTTGCACAACTGGTTTTGTTATCAACATATTCTCATAGTGACACAATATATATAACCGGAGCCGCTCTTCCAAAGTAACCCAATCTTCTACACTATTACAACTATTTCCTAACTTGCACATGCTCGTATAAGGAAAAGCCATTTGAACTGTTTTCTCAGTGTGTATCTGTGTAGAAGGCGCCATAGAGGCTTCAAAATACTGGGTTGACCATATGCACGAAGGAATTTCACGGGGCACTACATTTAACCTCTGGCTGGAGTTTGAAACCTATTCATATGGTGTTTGAAAGATCCTAGTATCTACATGATCAAAACTTTTAGCTGGTGGTATATTCTTATCATCTACGTCATATCTAATCAATCTATGCGCTCCCAGTACGGTTGGTCTGGTTCCTGGCAGCCTCGTCGTGCTCTTCGATGTCCGTAGCCTCCCAGGGGTAGCAGATCCAGACATCCTCGACGGTGCGGGCGGCCAGGTAGCGGTCATCGTTCATCACGTGCTCGGGCAGGGTGCCCTTCTTCGTCTTGTCCTTGTTGTGCAGGACAAAGATGCCGAACTTGGTCTCCCCCTGCACGCCGAGCCGCTGGCGCGTGGCCTCGACGTCCTTCTCGAGCTCCTTGACGGCGTACTCGAGCGTGGTCCGGGTGTCGTCAACCTCGTCGACGATCAGGATGTTCTTGCCCACCAGGTTCTCCATGCCGCCCAGGCTGCTGAGGTCCAGCCATTGCGTGCGCGTCACCTTGTGGCCGATCTGCTCGATGGCGCCCGGGGTGGTGGCGCCGCTCTTGGGGTCGTTCTCGGGCAGCTGCTCGTACAGCGACAGGCCGATGGCCTGGATAGGGATGTTGGGAGAGCCGGGCTGCTTTAGGAAGGACCGCAGGATACGGGCGGGGATGAAGCCTCCTCCACCGATAGCGATCATAAGCTGGGGGTCGAACGACTGCAGGATCTTAGGAGCCGTCTCCTGGCACAGCTTGTGCACCTGTGAAAGGAAAAACTGCGGTTAGTTTCACGGCGTCTGCCTGGAGAATGCGATAGCCCCGCGCAGTTTGCGCGAACTACCCGTGTAGCGCTGCGCCAACCGGGTAGTTCGCAGAAACAAGACGCGATTTAGGAGAGAAGCAATGCATATATAGGCGCAGAGCAAGGGTGAACCCCATGTGGCCATATAAACGTCGAGTTTGCGACATGTGGTTTGCTCTCGGGGTTTGCACTTTTGAACCAAGCAATGCGGGGCAGAGTAGGACTCACATCGTTGTACGTGATGTAAATCTTCTCAACCATCTTTGCGGTAGGGGATTTTGCAAGGCAGGGCACGACAGAGTGAACTGATACACGAGGTGAGAAGGAGATCCACAGAACAAATATACTGAATGTTTTTCGAGATCAAGGCGAGGCGAAATAGCCCAAGCAGACAGAAATAAAACAACCAAAAAAAGCCAGCGCGGGACCCAGGACCCCTCTTAAGCAAAGCGGAAAAAAAATTTGGAGGGGCAAGTCAGAAGGTTTCCACAGACTCCAGCGCCCCACGTGCGCGCGGCGGGCAACACCAAAACCGTGGGATGGTCATGCTGGTGACTCTATTAGCACCATGCCATCTCCGCCAAACTGGGCAACTCGTCGATTGGACATGCATCCCATCCTTTCGCCCATCATCCTGCAAGCCAGAGCGCCGCCCAACCAAGAGCTGAGAGGCTCAAGCCTCCAGGGCTTGCTTAGGCCTTCCCCCCCCCACAAACAACCGTAATTGGCTCGAAAAGTAGTCTTACCCCCGGAGCAGAAGAAAAAAGTTCTTCTACGCCGTTAGCAGAAACGCCTCGTGCTCCACTGGAAACCGGCGATGCCCGGCAGCTGTGTAGGTAATAAAGACATAATAGCCATGGATACTTGTCTGTATTGGCGACTAGGCAGAAAATTTTTGAAAAGTAAAAAGAAAACCTTGATGGGACAAATCATGCTAACTATGATCCGTCCTATGACTCTTGTTAATCTCTATCGAGGGAGGGGTTAATTTTTTTTTTATTAGAGCTTGGAAGTACAATTACCAGGAACAGCTCCCAAGCACAATATTTTCCGAGACGGCTTGCACTAATAGATGCACCGCGTAACTTCAAAGGCTTTTTGTGTCCGGAGCTAGATACATTCAACCTGCGTTCTGTAAATATAGATATCGCGTGCACCATTTTGGAAGAAAAGACCGGAGTGTGACTGAGCCATGGGAGTGCTGTCCAAATCCTGTTACTACTCTACCACCTCTGGGCATGTCTTCCGCACAGCGAACCCCCTGCTGCAGATTTCAGGTTCCTGCATGCAAGCTTACTTGTGGCGTTGCCATCTGGGCACAGGAATAGCAATTGTATGGAAGAAGCCATCCGCGTGTCTCGTTGTCGTATTTACCCTGACCAATATAGTTGGGTTTGAATTCTTGATATCATATGCACAAGCGTTACACAAAGTGGTTTGCCTTGTGACCTTGGGGGGACGTTCAACTTTGGTCCAATGCTTGCTGGCCAGTCAAGCCACAACCAGATCAATGCCACTTGCATCCACTCGTGTTGAAGCAACAAGACATGGGCTCTTGGAATTCAAAAGCTTTGTTGTCATCGGTGACCAAAAAGCTCCACCGGCATGTAGCGCTGTTTTTTCGAATGGGTTTTCAGAGCCGTCTTCTTACGTGCAGCCCACAGGCAGAACTTGACGAGGGCCGATCTGTGGGGGCAGATCGGACCTAAAGAATTTGGCCCGCTTTTCTACAGCCCGCATAACCTGCAATAAGCACTGTGGCTTTCATCCCAGAGCCCGGTTAGCTCAATTGGTTAGAGCGTCGGACTTTTAACAGGAATTTCCTGGGTCCATCCGAAGGCTGCGAGTTCGACCCTCGCATCGGGCGGTGCTTTAACAACTTCAACAGGAGTTGTTCGCGCTTTCTTTTTTTCATTTTTTCCTACATGACTTTTGCCTGTAGAATAGTCTCTTAACTTTTTGCTGCGTCTTTCCTAGACCCGTTCTAGCTCTTTGGGTGGAAGTAAAGTTCGGTTGGCATCTGGGCTGGATGGAAGCCTCTCTCGCATTACATGCATCACTCCACGCTCGTCGCTTCTGACATTTCTTTTTCTTTCAGATCGTGGTTATATGTCTATGAAACCTTTCTCCTTATAGTAAAAAGTTAAGCTACGATGATCCCTATTCTACTTACCACACCAAACCTATGGTTAGCATAAGTGGATCAGATCTTGCAGCGGCATCTCGCGCCTCGTCCCGAGAGCCATCAACTCGAGCCGCACATTTGCAAGAGCCGCACGGCATACCCACAGCATAACGTTTCCATCCTGCTAGTCAGCGGTCTTAGTTACCAGTTGTTTCCCGTGGGGGGCCCTACCTGCCTAATGGCGGATAATACCCCTTCCCTAGCCGTCGCTGACCGAGCCCATGGGTGGTTGGCGGCTCGTAGGGATAAAGACATTCCCGGGTGGATGCGGTGTTCCCCAGATTCTCCAGGCATGCTAGGCTTCTAATGGCTGATCGGGAAGCGGGAAGATGCATTAAGAGCTCTAGCTCTTGGCCCCTGGTTTTCCGGGGATTTCTATATATCTAGCATGGTTGCTATAATCGTAGCTGGTGTATAGGAGGTCGTCTTGTAGATGCTGATACCCAGGAGCACCTCTGTCCCATTTCTGCCCCTTCGCGCCTCGCTCCCGCTAGGCCCTCTCCACGTCTCCGAACTCCGGCGGCAGAAAACCCCCGTCACCCGTAGGGTCTCATGCAGGGCGGGCGGTGAGGGCAGCTTCTGGCGGCAGAAATTGCACGAGGGCAAATCAGAGGGCAACGTGGAATTTTTTTTAATTTCTTTTCTTTTGGGTAGAGCTTGGCTTCCAAAAAAAAAAGCCCCTCCCCCCACCCGGTGCTCGGCCAATTCGAGGCCCTGGATAGTAAGATCGAGGGGCGTGTGGGCAGGGTTTTTTCTTATTTTTTTCTCTCTAGGGTCTTTCTGTAGCTCGCCCATGTGTCAACAGACCCCTGCAGCGGGACGTGGTGCTATGCAAGTGCGTGTTGCTGCTCTGGACGTACGTACAAGCCAACGCAACCGAATCCGGAGCCCAAAAAGGAGTAGAGATGCAAGCAAAGAAGAACAGTTTCCAGTAGGAACATTGATTAATGTCTTCGTGGAGAGAATAGATACACAGCAAATTCATCTTATCCCCATTGTTCTCATTTCCCTTTGAATACAATCCCACTGTCACAGGTTAACCCCTCCTCGTGCGGCGTCTTATTTAGTGTCCTGTGGGGGCTTTGTCGTCTTGCTCTAACCGTTCGTGCTAAGTTCTAGTCGGTCAATTGGCCGGTGCAACCACAGCGGCCCAGCTCTGCTCTGCTCTGATCATTACATCAGAAGAGGGAGATCCTCTAGTCTGAGTCACAGAACCCCAACCATAGCCTGCACCTTTTAAACCACTGCTCGCCAGCTTGTCCTCTGCTGTCACGGCAAGTCTTACTCTTCTCCAATTGCCTGTTCCCGATACCCCTTTCTCCCGTGAGCCCTCCTCATTCGTTGCTTTTGCGAACCCGTCTACCCGCTGCAGTACCACCCGATCCCGGCGCTACAGTGCTTTGTACAAACTTTCCTTGTTCATCTCTCCCACCTTCATCACCGCCACTTTCACCACCACCACCACCACCATCACCACCAGCCAAGATCAAGGTGTGCATTTCTAATATCACTTGCACTGCAGCAAATATTCCTCAGCTTACGACATACGCATCAGCCCACGCGCTCTTCCCAGCAGTTTTAATATTCACACCACATACATACCCCGCCTTGACACCATGCCCGGCGTCGACATCACCAGTATCCAGGTGGATGATACCAGAGGTAAGCTATGTTATACGGCCCGATCAGCAGCGCGCGCATTGTGTCATCTCACCCCCTGCCTTTATCACCCTCCATCTCTCGCATCCTTCTCGATGGAGCAAGGATGGTTTTCCCGAGTTCGTCTTTCTAGGTTGACCGCCGGGTTCCTCTGCCCAAGTTTGCGCCTGACTTGGGTGTCACTGGGTGGGGGGAACCTAGAATCTGCCATCCTTACGTGGGCTGTTTTATAACCACCTTTTTTCTTTATCTTTCTACCTGCGCACTCACAGCTATGGCATAAGATTTGTCTCTACCGAAGTTTCCTCAGCCGCTGCTGCCGGCAACACCATGGTTTCCTTGCATAATTGGTACTTTACCGAAACAATGGGCAAAGTTAACGATATGTTAGTTCTGGGTCAGGATCCCCTGATTCCCCCTGCTCTTCTCATCTCAGAGATCCCCCTCACAGACAATGCTCTGCACACGGTGGTCCAGGGACGTCGGGAGGCCGCTGCTATAGTCATGGGCCACGATGACAGGCTGCTGGTCGTCGTCGGCCCCTGCTCGATTCACGACCCCGAGACAGCCATGCAGTACTGTGCTCTGCTCAAGAAGCTGTCAGACAAGCTCGCGGGTGACCTGTGCATCATCATGCGCGCCTATCTCGAGAAGCCCCGTACCACAGTCGGCTGGAAGGGTCTGATCAACGACCCGGATATCAACGAGACCTTCAAGATCAACAAGGGTCTGCGCATATCCCGCCAGATGTTTTGCGACCTCACCGGCGCCGGCATGCCCATTGCCAGCGAGATGCTGGATACCATCTCCCCCCAGTTCCTTGCCGACTGCATCTCTGTCGGCGCTATCGGCGCCCGGACTACCGAGTCCCAGCTGCACCGAGAGCTGGCCTCCGGTCTGTCTTTCCCCATCGGCTTCAAGAACGGCACCGACGGCAACCTGGGCGTGGCCATCGACGCGATAGGAGCCGCCGCCGCCCGCCACCACTTCATGGGTGTCACCAAGGACGGCCTCGCTGCCATCACCCGCACCAAGGGCAACGAGCACGGTTTCGTCATCCTCAGAGGCGGCACCAAGGGTCCCAACTACGACGCTGAGAACGTCCAGGCCGCCAAAGACACGCTGATAAAGAAGGGCCAGAAGCTGGCCATCATGGTTGACTGCTCGCACGGTATGTTATCACTACAAGGCTTTTTTTTCCTTTCTCTTCTTCTTCTCTCTCCACCTCAGTTCAAGGAGTGAGACTAACAAAGGTATTCTAGGAAACTCCAACAAGGACCACCGCAACCAACCCAAGGTGGCCAAGGTGATTGCCGACCAGCTGCGGGAAGGTGAGAAGGCCATCATCGGCGTCATGATCGAGTCCAACATCAACGAGGGCAACCAGAAGGTCCCCAAGGAGGGCCCGTCGGCCCTGAAGAAGGGCGTCAGCATCACGGACGCCTGCATCGACTGGGAATCGACAGTCACAGTGCTCGAGGACCTGGCCGAGGCAGTAAGAGCCCGCCGCGCCAAGAATGGTGCCGTCGGCTCTCAGGGAGAGGGTAACGGACCCCAAGTCACCATCCTGGAGGAGGACCACTAAACGGTTGATTACTGCGTACATGCTTCAACGATAAAGGGAGGCTCTGTTCAAGAAGAAAAGTTCGGCGATTCAAAAGAAAAGAAAAGTAATGAGTTCGTCATGATCAAGGGGGGTTATCATTCGTGATTTGCCCAGGAGGGCTGAAAAGATATTGCGGCGTTTTTCTGTTATTCCAAGCCACTGATTCAATATAAGAATCGATTCTTCCGGTTGTTCGCTCAATTACCTGCTAAGACATACATGCATGATTATTCACATGGTTGGCGCTGACTTTGTGATATGAGTTTGTTTTCTTGGGAACACAGATCCCCCACGCTTTGAATTGGGCGGCAGTTTGAAAACCCCTTGAACGCCATGTCGTACCGTAACCTCTAGCCCAGAATATATAATTAAATCAGAAACCTTCTCTCGTAAGTATTTGAGCTGCAATTCTTTTTGCTAGCTTCACCCGATCACGCCCTCCTCTTGACCATCCTCGGCACCATGGCCGACGGGTACGTATTCTCCTCGCCCTTGGCCCCGCCGGGAAACTCCAGCTCCGGCGCCCAAACCTGCCGATGCCCCCATCCCCGACCTGCCACCAATACCACCACCAGCTCCTCCCCCGGCACCGCCACCATGACCGCCGCTGCTGCTGCTACCACTACCTCCGCCCACGAGCTTGACCCAGCCGGCTAGCGTCCCGCTCCCGTCGCGCATCTCCAGGACGCGCCGGATGGCGGACCAGCCCAGCAGGCCGGTGGTGGCGAGGATGAAGCCCCACACGATGATCATGTCCTTGCGGCTGTCGCGCTGGAAGCACATGGTCACAACGTCCTTCTCGGTGGCGGTCTCGCAGATGGGCAGGCCCTGGCTCAGGCACCAGGCGCGCGTGCACTGGGTGCACGAGGAGGATGCGGAGCGGGGCTCGATGGCGGTGAGGGGGTTCAGGGAGCGCAGGAAGAGGTTGCCATCGTCATCATTGCTGTTGCTGCTGCTGCTGCTGCTGCTAGATTCGGCATCGATGTCGATGCCTCGGGCTGCGCGCGAGGGGGTGGACGAGTCCTTGGGTCCGAGGCGCAGGATGGTGCTGTTCGTGAAGCAGGTGCATTTGCAGAATGTGGGAGCAGCTGGGAAGTTACAAAGGTTAGCCGGTGAGAAATTCCGAGGGCGGGCGAAAGTCGAGCAGGACACATAATTAGGAGGGAGTCGGTGTCGAGGGGCTCGGAACTGAACTTACAGTTTGCTGCAACCAGCGCCGCCGAGAGAGCTCCGAGGAGCAGGAGGAATGTGTGGTGGCGCATGATTACGGCGATGGAGAAAGCATTGAAAGGAGGTGCTCTTGTGATAATGCCTCTGTTTCAACAGTCCGCGGGGTCAGGATAAAAGCATCAAGCACTGGCGGCGAGGCGATTCGTACAATTCGGATTGTAGGTTGTTCTGGCAGGCAACTCGCCCC